GGTGTTAAGCTTCATAAAAGCAAGACTTTGACTTACACATTCCAATAGGTTTCATTTCTTATTCCTGAATGTGGGCTACTATCAAAAGAACTGAAAGGCCTGGTCATGGAAATTGGGCCCTATTACTCTGTGAAGCACTTACCTCTTCATGAATTAATTACGCATGAATTCATCAACACCTTTGTAAAGAAAGGTAAGAAAATCATAGAGTCACATAATGAACAAGGCAAGATGAGGAGACAGGAAAATCACAGCAAAATACTGGGGTTCTGTGCTTGTTTTGAAAAGGGCCTATGGGATGGGGCTGGAGAGATGGCTCAGCAGTTAAGAGCACTGGCTGCTCTTGCAGAAGACCCTGGTTCAAATCCCAGTACCCACATAACAGCCTACAACCATCCATAGCTCTAGTTCCAGGGGATCTGACACCCTCTTCTGTCCTCTGCAGGCATTTCAGGACACAGGTGCACTTATGTACATGCAGACAATACACTCATACACATAGTTTTTTTCAAAAAAAAAAAAAAAGAAAGAAAGAAAGAAAGAAAGAAAGAAAGAAAGAAAAAAAAGGGCCTATGGGGATAGTCTACATCCCCATAGGTTACAGGTTCCATTCTGAGTCCATTCTTGGCCTGTTGGTAGGAAACTTATGGAAAAAGATGCTAAGTGGGGAAGCAGTGTAGCTGGAACATAGCCTCTGTGTGTTCCAGCTTCTCTGAGGCATGTGTTGGGTTTATTAGGTGAGTTGGAGCAATGGTAGGTGTTGACTATTTCCTACCTGGAAGATTAGTTGTCCACTAACATTGTGTTATTTCTTTGTCTTAATTTCTCTTCTCTTTGACTTTCTTTTATAGGTTCGTGCTGTGCATTAACATACAATACTAGTATTGATGAAGATAATACTGTTGCCCTCCTACCAAATGGTAACAACACTCATTTTTTCCTTTTCATCAATTATAAAAGAAATATATACTGTTTTGTTTTGTTTTTAAAAAGTCATGCAGTTCTATACAGGGTAAAGTGAAACTCCTCCCCACCCTTCAAACTGCTTTTCTTAGAAGGAGCAGCTTCATATTCTTCGTGAATTTTCTATGAATTTATAATCATAAACTTTTTAATGATAGTATACTGCATTGGTTCTCAGTAGTTGTTTTCCCCAAGATTCACATCATAGATATTTTCCTATATCAGTGCATATTGTTCTGACTTAGAAGTTTTTGTTTGTTTTGGTTTGCCTTTTGTTTTGAGTCAGAGTCTTGCCATTTAGTTCAGGCTGGCCGCATATGTGCTGCAATCCTCCTGTCTCAGGTTTCTAAGTTTTGGGCTCATAGGTGTGCACCACCACATCTATACCTGTCTTAAAAATACTTGAAGTAGCTGGGTGTGGTGGCGCATACCTTTAATCCCAACACTCCAGAGGCAGAGGCTGGAAGATCTCTGTGAGATCCAGGCCAACCTGGTCTACATAGTTCCAGGCCAACTGGGGCTACAGAGAGACCCTGCCTCAAAAAAAAAAAAAAGAAAAAAAAAATTTACTTGCAGTAATGTACAAATCATGGTTTAATGGTTCCTTCCTTAATAAAAATTTAATTATTTCTAGTTTTGCTACTATAACTAGTAGCCGTTTATGTATATATGTGTGGATAATATCACCAACCATGGCGGTTCACACCTGTAATCCCTGCACTTGGAAAACTGAGACAGGAGGATTGTGGTAAATTTGAGGCCAGTCCAGGCTACATTGCAACTTCCAGGCCAGTCAGGGCTATGTGGCTAGATAATATAAATGTACTGTAAATAATGTCCTCATAGGTAGTTATTATACTGATATCTCATTGCTCAGGTGTTTTGCTTTCTTAGTCAAAGAATATAAGCCATTTCACTTCTATGGGAACTATTGTTTGATTTATAGGGAAATTAATTTTATCCCTGGATAAAGATACTTATGAAGAAACTGGACTTCAAGGTCGTCCATCTCAGTATTCTGGCAGAAAAACTATGAAATTTAGTAAGTATTATGTGTATTCCATTAGTACAAGCCAGTAATATTCCTATAATAAAATATAAATGTTTGATTCAAATCTGATGTCTGTGGTTAGAAAAATGTGGTTCTTTCTTTGCTTTTAAAATTTGGATTCACTGGGCTGGAAAGATGGCTCAGCAGTTAAGAACACTGGTTGTTCTTGCAGAAGATCTGAGTTCGGATCCCAGCACCCACATGGCAGCTAACAACTGTCTATAACTCCAGTTCCAGGGGATCTGACAGCCTCTTCTGTCCTCCGAGGGCATTGCATGACTACAAGTGCACTTACTTACATAATTTGGATTAATGGAGCTGTTGGTTGGACTTTACAGAGGATTAGATGATGGTGTTAAATTTATTTCTCTTTGGCTGTACGCTGCATTTAATAAAGATTGTAGAGTTGGACTAGTCTGTTAGATACAATAGAAGTTGACAACTTGTGCTTGGTATAGAATTTCTTTATGGTTACTAGTAAAAGTTCACCCATGAGTGAAGTGCTGCGGTTTTGATGACAGTATTGAAATGGCAGAACTAACTCCATTTTGTTCTGACTGACTTCTGCTTTAGCCTGTCTTTTTGCCCAGCCATTCCCACCGCAACCAGCCAGGCAGAATGTGTTATGCGGGTAGTTTCAGGGAGTACAGTTTTTCTACAATTCTGGGAAACTTAAAAGAAGCCAGGTAGCATGTCCAGCAACACATCCTCCCTCCCAGGTATACCTGCATCTCCCTGGAGCCCATTGTTTCTGCAATTCTAAGAAACTTTTTTTTCCTAATTGAAACTTTTGTTAACTGAAAACCTCTTTGTTAACTGACCTGCCCTAGTGTGGTGTAACAATGGTGCTCTGTTGTAACTATGGTTATTGGCTTTGCCTCTGGCATGATTTAATTGTGTTTTTAAGCTTTATAAACCCTGTCCTGCTTCTCCTTAGGGTCGAAAGTTCTTTTGGGCATTAGCTCCCTCTCTGACCACCATCTATTAGTAAAGGACTCCTAATTCAAACATCACTACGTGGTGTTCCTCTGTGCATCTTCCTCAGTATTTCATTTGGAAGCCCCTTCAAGATCGCCACTTAGGCTCATCCTCGCTCTGAATCTCCCTGGCTTGATGAATTGTTGTAGGGAGTCGCCCCCTGAGATGTTCCAGGGCCCCATGACTCATCAGAGCCAGAGAGTCCTGGAATGACTGCTGCGTGACCCCAAAAACCAAAACTGATTGAGTCCTTCTGGTCCTCCCAGGAGACAAGTTCTGTTATTTCTAGTTTGGAGCTCCATTCTAGTCTGGTCTGGCACCTAATGGGAATGTGATCCTAATGGGGGCCTGCCCAAGGCCTTTCTCAATAGCCAACACCTTGACTGAGGAGGTCATCTGGTAAACTGGTGCATCATTAGAAACTGGTTACTCTGGTCTCTGTTCATGTCTGTTTTGTGTATACTAGTAACTGTATGATGAGTGATTGGGCAGTTGGATGAAGTAAGTTCTGCTCTGAATAGCACCTGTCCAGAGGGTCCTGTCTTTTGTCTATCGTGAAATGAGAGTATGTCCTTGTTTGTTTTAACTGCTGCCCAGGTTTTGCCTTTCCTTCTTCCCTGATTCTCACTGAGAACCAGGGAGCCAGCCTGCCCTCCTAGATTGGTAGGTCTAGTAAACTCTGTGTCTCTAACCTTCTGCCATTGCTTTACAACTATCCATTCTGACAGGCTTGTGTCTGTTTTGCAGCTTTCTGCTCTCTCTACCCTACTGAGCAGCCCCCTCCCATACCTGGGGCACTCTTTCCCCTTCACTCAGGCCTATTCTGGTGACCTGTCTTCTCTCCACCCCCAGTTGCTTTTCTCTGAGGTTCTCTGCTCTGCAAGATCCACAGGTCTTTTACTCTATGGCTCCAGCTGCAGCCCCTGTTCTGAAAGTCCGCAGTTACCTCTGAGTTCCTTCCCTGTCTCCCCTGGCCCTCTACTAGGGGAAAAGGGGAGAGAATGGAATGTAGCTCAGGACTTAGAGCCAGAACGCTGCCCACTGAAGCCTGTCATCTGCCCCTCTGTGATGATAAAATGAAAGGAAAAATAAAAGGGTTTCAGTCAGGCTAAACTGTCCCAGTTGAGACTCATTTCTCTGAACATAGTATTCCTGGATGTTAGGACAGATGATGAACTCTGTGACTCTCTTCCTCATACCCCTCCCTTTCTCCACCCTGCTGAGGACATGGGTTGGCATTTATCTCTAGATGACTTCCTAAGAAAATGCTGTTCTACTTTGCCTTACTACTAAAAAGAAAAAAAATGGAGCCCACTCACTTTTTATCAGTTCAGAATGACCATAGATCCACCCCCTCCACCCTCAGATTTGCTCCTCAGCAGCTCAAAGGAAAGTGGGAAGAGTAGATGGGTGCATTTGGGACCCATATACAGAGGGGTGGACTGTGGTGTGGGGAAGGCCTCAAATTTCAAAGTTTTAATGTTGCCTAAAAAGGAAAAAAAACAGTTTTGTCTAAAATTAATGTGCCTGATTGTACCAGAATGTAAGGAGACAGGAAAAGTCCAACTCAAGGATATATAGTAAATTATAAAAGGCCAGAGAAAATGTAAACTTGATTTGCTTTGGTTTAATTTTGGTTGGATTTCTTCATAAGAAAAAGAATAATGTTTCTTTACTACAAAATGTTTCAGTTTAAAATGGGATTATATAGAGCTGGGCATGGTGGTGCATACCTTTAATCCCAGCACTCAGGAGGCGGAGGCAGATGGATCTCTGTGAGTTCAAGGCCAGACTGGTCTACTAGTGAGTTTCAGGCCAGCTGGGACTACAGGGAGACCCTGTCTCAGAAAGATAAATAAATAAATAAATAAATAAATAAATAAATAAATAAATAAATAAGGATTATATTCTTTAGGAAAGGATAGTGACTTATTCAAACCATTACAGTATCTGTTATAGACATCAGTAGCCAAGGCTACCACATCCACAAGCAAATTAAAGTTGACCTCCTGAAGACCTCTACTTCTTGGTCTTTGACCTAGGAAGGATACAAATTTAAAATGCCTTATAGCTAATAACTCTCAACATTAGATACACACAGGAATATTTTTGGCTTGATGAAACAAGAGAAGGAAAGAACAAAGTAATTTTTATTATTTATAAACTTACCAAAATGTCAGGTGTCTCTCCACTGTTTAATTTTTGTATAATTTGAATGAAATATATATTCTTTCTTCTACTTTAAGTTGTTTCCATTGATTTGATGGATTTATCCCTTCACCCGGATTCTAAGAAATCTGAAAGAATATCTTGGTCCTTCAAAGAAAAGAAGCCTTTGAAATTTGATTTTCTTTTGGCTTGGCATCATACAGGTATGAAATATAAATTATGTAATGATACAGTGATTTTGAAATCTAATTGTTAACTTAAAAAAGAGTAAGGGAGCTGGGCATGAAAGCACACACCTTTAGCCCCAGCACCTGGGAAGCAGAGGCAGGTGGCTCTCTGTGAGATCGAAGCCAGACTAGTCTACATAGTGACTCCAAGCCAGCTGGGGCTACAGGGACACCTTGTCTAAAAAGCCAAAAAAAAAGTAATGGAGGATTGAGTAATGATTCATCCCTATGGTCAAGGGTTATATGGCACACATGGGTTTATGAACATTATGAAGGGAGCTGCTTTAATCCTTCAGATGTACTGAGAACCTTAATTCACGATAGCCTTGTTCTGAAGCCAACTGTTAGCTTTTATCTATTTCTCCCCTTCCTTCCCTCCAGTTAAACAGCCTTGACTAGAATACTTTAAATCAGCACCAATTATAATTATATATGTGATCTGTTTACTCATTACTTCTGGGTAATAACTCAGGCATATCATTAAATGTCAGATAACACTTGTTGTGACTTTTAATTGATTAGAATACTAAATTTAGTGCCAAGTTTGACAGTTCATCAAATATGTTAATCTACTTAAAACTGCCACGTGCATTGCTCCTTTAGAAGTGTATCTTTGGCCCCTTACAAGATTGTGAGGAATCAGAATTTTAGCAGGTTATGGTGGTGCAGTACTCTGCTTTGGAGGATAGGAAAGCACATAGGTCTATTGGCTCCTCATGGGACACGGGGTACCCCAATGGCTTTCTGTCCTAGTTTTTTTTTTTTCTTTTTAATTTTATTTATTATTTTTATTTTGTGTGTATGTGTGTATTGCCTGCATGTAGGTAAGTGCACCCGCTGTCCCCATCCCTGTCCCCTTTCCACTGATTATATCTTGCTGTTCTCCCAATTGGATCCTGGATGGCTGGTCTCTCTGCCTTGCTTTATCTCTCATTTCCTTCTTTCCAAGCTGATTTATGTGTATGAGTGTTTTGCCTGCATGTATGTAAGTGCACTCCTGAGTACAATACCCTCAGAGACCAGAAGAGGGTGTTGGATCCCCTTGAACCGGAGTTATGGATGGTTGTTAGCCACAATGTGGGTGCTGGGCACTGAACCTCAGTCTTTTGCAAGAGCATACAGGGCCCTTAACCACTAAGCCATCTCTCCATTCCCTATTTATTTTTTATTTTATGTGCATGAATGTTTTATTTGCATGTATGTAAGTGCACCATGTTTGTGTAATGTCTGTGGAGGCCAGAAGAGGCCATCGGATCCCATGGAACTGGAGTAATGAGTGGTTGTTGGCTGCTATGTGGATGCTGGGAACAAAACTGGGGTCCTCTGCAAGAGCACCCAGTGCTCTTAACTGCAGAATCTTTTCTCCAGTGTTTCCCCCCGCCCCCACATGTAGATCACCAAAGGGAACTCAATCTCCTGTAGCTATTATCTACTGTCACCTCATACAGCCCTTGGGGACCACTAACCTAATTACTCTATGGATTTGCCTATTCTAGACATTTTCTATAAATGGAATCATGCATGTGGCCTTCTGTGTATGGCTTCTTACTCTGAGCATGATTTTGGGGTTCATTCATAGTGTAAGCAGGTATCAGTATGTCACTCCTTTCTATGAATAAATACTGTTCCACTGTGTGGCTGACAGGTTTACACATTCATCAGTGAGCGGAGTCAAATAAATTTTTCTCAGGAAACTGATTTATTCCTTATCTCTTCATTCTTGTGCATCCCCCACCATTGAACCTTCCATAAACAGGGATTCCTCCATCATTCAATGTGGTTTCTGACTCCCAAGAGGGTGAGGTTTGTGAGAAGAGTCACCCTTGTTGGCTAGTCCTCTTCTGGGCCTTGTTTCCGCATCTATAGGACTGAGGGAAGTACTATCCACATGGAGGTGTAGCAGCGGCCTGACACTCAAGGCATTCTAAGTTGACAGCGATGCCCAACGAAGGGTGGCCAGGCAAACTCAACTCCTCCTCCCTTGTCATTCTCCGACCCACATCTTCCATCCAGTGTTCTCTGACGAGCTCAGACTCAAGTGAGAAATAGAATGGGAAAGCAGATATCAAGTACCAGAGGAATTAGTCAAAAGGATACAGGCAAGAATGAGCTAGAAAAAGGTTCTGTGGAGATGTTTTTAGGGTTGTGCACAGAGACAGAAAGTCAAGAATTTGGAGTCTGAAGAACTGAGACCCACATTCATCCTGACATACCCACTCTGAGTTGTGAGACCTAGGTGCCTCTTCTGTAAAATGGAATGTGATCCAATACCAAAGCTGCCCACAAGCAGGGGACTGGGTCAAGGTCACTGGCAAACTGCTTATGAATTAGCTTGCATGCTGTCTTCAATGTCCTTAGGGAAGGACCTGGATGTTTCTAGTGGCAAACACCATGTTCATTCTATGCAGGAGTAGCCTGTTAGGGTAGGCCTCATCTTCTTTGTATTTATTTTGTGTGTATGTATGTATTGCCTGCATGTAGGTAAGTGCACCCGTGTCGTGCAGTGCCCACGGAGATCACAAGAGGCTGTTGGATCCCCTGGGATGGGAGTTATAGAAAGTTGTTAGCTGCCATGTGGGTGCTGGGATTCAAACCCGAGTCTTCAGCAAGAACATTCAGTGTTGTTAACTGCTGAGCCATCTCTCCAGCCCCCTCTGTCCTAGTTTTAAAATATTTAGTGTCTCTTCTCCTTCTGTACATGGTAGATATAAAAGAGGACAAAGAGACTTATTGCAGTCTCAGTTATTTGACATCGTCTTCTCTGAGGACTGTGCATGCAGTGAGTTCTGTGTGGCTTCTTGTTCTTCAGACTACTAGTTACTTCCAGAGTTTTCCAGAAACTGTGGAATGTCTGAGATTTTATCCTAATTTCCAGCTAACAAAGTTGCACAACAGTGTCACAGGTGCAACTCTTGGGTCAGAGACAAAAGATTTGATTCTTCATACTAGCAGCAGTTGAGAGGTCTGAAAGCAGGCACTCTGATAGTGGCACTCACCATCCAAGGCCAAGGCCTGGGAACCTGGAGTCTGTTTGGATAACCCCCGTGCCCATTGGCAGTGAAGGTAGATCTTCCCTACTCAGTCCATTAACTCACAAGCCAATCTGCTCTTGAAACACCCTCACAGACACCCCCCCAAAATAAGCTTTACTACTTGTCCTACACCTAAAAAGAATCATCACATGGAGAGTGATGATCTGCATTTACACAAGTTCATCAAGTTCCAGTTGGCATAGAGCAGCACAAAGCTGACCTAGTAACGCTGGCACATGCAGTGGGTTACAGTACAGGAGGGGAATCAGAGCTTAAGGGACTCTGCCCTTTCATAGTGGGGAGTAAGCCTGCTGGCTCTGCCCAGACAGAAAGGGAGGCATTGTTTCCATCATACTGGACAGTAAGCAGGCCTGTTCTGTGTTCTGGAGGGGATGTCTATTTCTACCTCAAGGCTGTTGGCTACACAATTTGTCTGAACAGTTCCACGGGATTTTACTGGGTCTTCAAGGGGTACTTAGCATGAGATTCTACCATCATTTAGTTCGTCTTCTGTTTCCTATAGAGATTATATAGACTCCTTTCTGTAGAGTTCACTAATGTTTATATTTTATATATTAAGTTGAATTTCTTATTAAAGCAAGTAGAACCCACATGTGGTTGATTTGGAGGCATCAGGTATTTTTCAGAAAAAGTGAAAAAAGGAGCTGGAGAGATGGCTCAGCGGTTAAGAGCACTGACTGCTCTTGCAGAGGACCCGGGCTCAATTCCCAGCACCCACATGGCGGCTACGAACCATCCTTAACTCCAGTTCCAGGGGAATCCGAAGCCCTCTTCTGACCTCCGCGGCATTGCATGACATGGGTGCACTCACATACATGCAGACAGTACACTCATAGACATAAAGATAATAAATAAAATTAAATTTAAAAAAAATGAAAAAAGATGACTTCATAGTGCTGTAGCATAAGCAGCTGAAAGCAAACTAAATAATTGTAATTTTCACACGGTTTCACATGGCTTCCATTTTACTTAGTCTCAAAAGGGAATGGAAAAGGCATTGAGTATGGTGGTATACACCTATAATCCTAACACTCAGAAGAGAGGCAGAGGGTCATTAGTTTGAGGCCAGGTATATACTGAGACCCTGTTTCAAAAAAACAAGAAAAAGAATGAAAAAGGAATGGGGTCCGTCAGTTCAAGACTCATCAGAGTTGTTACAATATTACCTCAGCCTTGTATTTTAAGGTGCAGAAGAATCAACGATGATGTCGTACTTTTCCAAATACCAAATTCAGGAGCATCAGCCCAAAGTGACGTTGAACACAGTGAGAGAGCTGCAGTGCCCAGTGCTGCAGAGCAGTGAGCTCAAAGGAGAGCCCGAGGAGGCCTGCAGTGCCCTGGAGCTCTTCGACTGGCTTGGCGCAGTCTTCTGCAATGCGGACCTGTAGGTATCTGAAGTGTCTGGATCATGTAGGGCTCTTTCTTGCTGCTTATTTTCAAGAGGAATTTACTGCTTTGGATGTGATTATGTGGTGAAATATATTTTCTTTCCTTTTTATGGCAGGAATAATGAGTCTAATGATTTCATATCAACCTATTGCTGTCCCCAGCCAAGCACAGTGGTAGCCAAAGCTTGTCTGTGTACAATCACCGGCCTCATACTTCCAGAGAAGATCTATGTTCTGCTAGAGCAGCTGTGGTAAGAAGAACCGTGTTGCCTCGTGTATTTCAGTAGTTGATGCTACACTGGTATGTTAAGGACATTGCTAGTGAGGTACAAGACAGGGTCCCACACACGTGTTTTCCTCTTTTTTCTTTGTTTGGACTGTGTAGCTTTCTTCCAATTGGAGCAGTGCTACTGGGAAGTACTTAGCCTTATGGAAAGAGGAAGCAAAGCCTCAACAGATTTCTTGAAAACAAGCCACTCATTTTGCTGGTTCTGCTCCCCTGAGCAATTTTGGTACAAAGACTTTTCATTGTGAAATGGAGGGGAAAAGACTTGATCATCTCTGAATCCAAATCCTAACTAAGATGTGCTCCAACAGAAACTCTGTGAATCACTGGGCATTAATATGCTAAGTGTTGTCATGTGGGAGGGGCTATGTAAATGACATGTAGACATTGAGTCTAATGTGAAGATTTCAGATCCCATGTTGAAGAGACTACATAGACCATGATCCTGTTTATTAAGCCTACCTTCTCAGTCTTTTTCTTTTCATTAGTGCTACGGATTGAGGCCAGGGCCTTGAACATACTGTGCAAGTACTTTACCACAGAGCCACACTTCAAGCTCAGTTTTTATTTTTATTTTTTTATATTTTATTTATTTTTATTTCATGTGTATGAGTGTTATGCCTGCATGTAGGTAAGTGCACCCATGTCATGCAGTGCCCGTGGAGGACAGAAGAGGCTGTCAGATCCCCTGGAACTGGAGTTAAGGACAGTTGTTAGCTGCTATATGGGTGCTGGGATTCGAACCCGGCTCTTCTGCAAGAACAGTTAGTGTTCTTAACCCCTGAGCCATCTCTCCAGCTCCTCAGTTTTTATTTTTAAGATATCTAAGATTAAATCTTAAGGATTTTCATATTTAGGGCTATAGAGATGGTTCAGCAATTAAGAGCACTGGCTGCTCTTGCAGACTTGGGTTCTAATCCCAGCACCTACATGACAGCTAACAACAGCTGTCCATAACTCCAGTTCCAGGGGATCCAGTGCCCTCTAATGGCTTCCACAGGCATTGATCAACACAGGTTCACATACATATGTGCAGGCATTACACTCATACATATAAAATAAATAAACAAAACAAAAAGTATCTTTTTATTTTAACCCAACACCCTTTATCATATTTACTAGTTTAGTACTTAATTATTCTGTGATGCTTCATTAAACAGGAACTGAGAGCATCATTTTTTTCCAAGATTTTTTTGTTTTTTTAATTCCATGCTAGGGATCAAATTTAGGGCCTTGGCTTGGGCGTGGTGGTGCACACCTTTAATCCCAGCACTCGGGAGTCAGAGGCAGGTGGATCTCTGTGAGTTCAAGGCCAGCCTGATCTACATAGTGAGTTCCAGGACAGCTGGGGCTACAGGAAGACCCTGTCTCAAAAAGACCAAAAAACAAAAATTTAGGGCCTTAAACATGCTAGGCAAGCACTAGGCCCAGCAAGAAAATGGGATAGTGGCCAGCAAGGTGTCTCAAAAACACATGCTACCAGGCCTGACAAACTGAGTTCAATTCCCAGGACCCACAAGTTGTCCTCTGACCTCCACACATGTGTAGTGGCTTGGGCATGTCCCTCCCCCCACCACACACACACAAAATAAATGTTTTAAAAAAATGTTTATGGGACTGGAGAGATGGCTCAGCAGTTAAGAACACTGGCTGTTCTTACGGAAGACCCGGGTTCGAATCCCAGCACCCACATGGCAGCTAACAACTGTCGTAACTCCAGTTCCAGGGGATCCGACAACCTCTTCTGTCCTCTGCAGGCATTGCATGACATGGGTGCACTTACCTACATGCAGGCAATACACGCATACACATAAAAAAATAATAAAATATTTTTTAAATGTTTATTGGAGCTGGGCGTGGTGGTGCACACCTGTAGTCCCAGCACTTGGGAGGCAGAGGCAGGCGGATCTCTGTGAGTTCAAGGCCAGCCTGGTCTACATAGTGAGTTCCAGGACAGCTGGGGCTACAGGGAGGCCCTGCTTCAAAAAGACAAAAACAAAACAAACAAAAATGTTTATTGGGAAAGAAACTCTTAGATACTTTGGGAGGGGCAGGGGTTGTTCTCTTGGTTTTAAATGATTTTCTAAATCGTGGGTACTGAAGTTGTTTGCTATGTTTTTATTAGTTGATGCTTATGGAACTCACAGGATAGCACCACCTATTTAATCCATCTCTTCAAATGTTTATAGATCAGAGGTAGACCCTCAGCTTCATTAGGACATCAGAAATACCTCAGGTCCTGGATAATTTTTTTAATGTGGATATTCCTGATTTCCTGTTAAGAATTTTCTTTCTTTTTCAGTCACTACTTTGATGAACCAAAGTTAGCTCCATGGATCACCTTGTCAGTTCAAGGCTTTGCAGACAGCCCTGTGTCGTGGAGAGAGAATGAACATGGCTTTCGAAGAGGAGGAGAACACTTATACAACTTTGTGATTTTTAATAATCAGGACTATTGGCTTCAAATGGCTGTTGGAGCAAATGACAACTGCCCACCGTAAAATACAAAGTTTAAAATCCTGCTTCTGTGTATGTATGTATATTTATAAAGGCAAACACCACCGCACCCAGCTTGGAATACATTTTTTTTATATTTATTAAATCGATGAGCTGAAAAGTAAGAGTTCTCAAAGGTAAAAAGAAAACGTTTATGAGAATACAAGCTAAGAGTAATTAGAGCATTGATGATACCACTTCTTAGCCTTAGTGTATCTGCCATTTGTGGATGTGAATTTTTGTTCTTCACAGCCTGGGTGAGGGAAGGAATAGCAGAACAGCAGACAGCTTAGGGTCTGTCCAAAGTAGAACTAGCAGCAGACCTCATAAGGTGAGGCCTCAAAAGGATAGACTTAGTTAAGGGCAAACTGAATGAACTTGTTCGCTTCCCTCCCGTCTTTATCCCCAGAGTCCAGGGAACAGCCAGGACTTACTTGCCTGTCTGGAGGGAGAACAATGCTCTTGAGATTGTCTGTTATACATCCACCTATCATTTACATTCTCACCTAGGGAGGAACTTAGAGATTGTTTCAGGGAATATAAATTCATAGTCAAAAATTACAACACATCAAAATAGGCAAGAGCCAGCAGACCTACAAAGACACTTAAGATGTTAACATTACCAAATACAGTATAAAGCGTGTTTTGTAATTTAAAAAAAAAAAAAAAAAAGAAGAAGCCGGGTGTGGTGGCACATGCCTTTAATCCCAGCACTGGGGAGGCAGAGGGTATGGGGTCATAAAGCTGGAAAAGGGACCTTGAGAAGAGAAAAGGTTTTAAGGAAGAGTTGAGGGAGGTAATGGAATACTTGAGAGCAGAGAGGGGAGTCCTAGAGACAGGCTAGGAGGGGGTGAGGAGCCAGGAAGGAGGATCAAAGTATATGAAAATGCCAAAATGAAGTCTACTTTGTGTGCTAATTTAAAAAATGTCTTAATGAGGCACTACTATCCTCAGGCCTCTTGGGGTAAGTCTACAGCGCAGCTCTCCGCCCTGGGACTCCCTAAGCCACATTCACCCTTCCATCCCCCCCCCCTCGCCATTCTATACTCCTAGTTTGAGCCCTGCGCCACTCCTAGTCTTGGGGCCCCAGACACCTGGGGAACCAATACTGCTTCCTGACCCTTCTCACCCAGAGCAACCCAGTCCCTTTCTTGGGCTCCAGGAGCACCACTTCTGGTCCTGGCCCTGCCCTCACCTCGCTCTGCTTCCCTGGGCCTGCACCACCGGCTAACTCTCCTAGCCTGCACTACTATCCTCAGGCCTCTTGGGGTAAGTCTATAGCGCAGCTCTCCGTGCCGGGACTCCCTAAGCCTCATTCACCCTTCCACCCCACCCACCATCCCCCTGCCCCCCTGCTCGCCGTTCTATACTCTAGTTTGGACCCTGTGCCATTCCTAGTCTTGGGGCCCCAGACACCTGGGGAACCAATACTGTTTCCTGATCCTTCTCACACAGAGCAACTCAGTCCCTTTTCTTGGGCTCCAAGAGCACCGCTTCTGGTCCTGACTCCGCCCTCACCTCTCTCTGCTTCCCTGGGCCTGCACCACCGGCTAACTCTCCTAGCCTGCACTACTATCCTCAGGCCTCTTGGGGTAAGTCTATAGCACAACTCGCCGGACTCCCTAAGGCATACTCATCCTTCCCCCCCCCCCCCACCCCGCCATTCTA